TCCACTTCCCGCAAGGCACTACCATGGGCATCGTAACTCATAATGCTGGAAAGGTCGCAACACGACCATAGGCTACTAAGATGTGAATGTTCACAACGGAAAAGTTCTGTCCACACAGTTCCACAAGTTTTGGTGTCTACGGTACTTCGGCTCATTCACTCGCTGAAGTATACACGTCAATGTCAGCCCCAGTCCTTTCTCGAGTCGCTCAACCGTTCCGAACGGGTGCAACACGACATGGGAGCGAACGGCTCTCTCATCACTGCTTGCCCGGCGGGACACTCTCCGAGTTAATATTCTGTGTTTTAATTAACTCTTCCAAAGAAAAAGTGTCTCGAAAGTCCACCAAATTTATGGTGGTACTAACCGGACGTTCGGACTCGTCAAACGCTGCCATATAAGACTCATATCATCCGCTTCCCACGCTTCCGCCGTCGTCAGCCTCTGTAGCCGACTTCCTCAGATCGCGTCTTGATGAGAGGTCACTCTCCTCACTATGTCGCACTCTTCGACTCACCCGGGTGTGACCACTCGTCCACCGTATCTTTGTTACTCTAACGCGTGCCGGTTTGCGCAACCAGAACTCCAAAGTATCTCTGGTTGGTGACGTAGTTTCGCGCGGCTTTATGGCCGCGCCGCCGAAATCTGAGATCAAAGTCCAGATATGCTATATACCTGCGACATGAACTACCTATGCGCTGTTACGGTGGGGCAGGGGACGAGAGGCGTCACACAGTCGACTCACAGGATTCCGATATCTGGCGTCAGTGAATAACTCAAGAGAGATTCCAGGTCGGACCTCGCGCCGGGACTGAATGCGCTAGTAGCCGCGACGTGGACGTCGGGGCGGGGCGCCCGCGCGGCGGCGGGCACAGCCGCGCCTCCGAGGCGCTAGGACTCCATGCCGTGTAGCTGAACGGTATAACCAGCCCAAGTGCCTGGTGCTCTCGGGACACTCCACTTCGGCAAACAATTATGTCTCCTATATCTTATATATATCGGTAGGCGGGCACGCCTTCTTACTTGCAGCGTTGTATTCCTCTTTCTTCAATGAGATATTCTTCTGTACTAAGCTCCTTGTATATACCGTTTGACCGCTACCACCTCCATACAACACACTAGTCTTGTGACATGTCAACAACGGGAGAAAGACGAGTTTGTCCAAATGTCCAGCAAGGTGTTTGTTCATTATGCCGGTTGTCTACGGATCTCGGCTCGTCACGGGCTGTGGACTGATGTTTTAAACATAATGTAGCCCGTGAGCCTTCCCTGTGAGTTCGCTCTCCTTCGATAGGCCCGGCCTCCTTGTGATGGCGATGTGGTACTACCCATAACATATAGAGGCTCTTGCGAACTCAAAAAATGATCCTGCCAACGAGGAGGTACACTCTTACAGGGTGCCCGTTAAACACTCTCCTATGTAGTTTCACTGCATATTATTGAGGTTAAAACCTCTCAAAGAATTAATTCTCGAGAAGTCACACAAATTAGTGTAGTGCTCTACGGTGGTTTAACTTAACACGGACGTCCGTACACGTCAATACTGAATAGGTTACTATCTCCATAAGTTGCTAACAGCCGCCCAGGCTTACTAGAGCAGTCCGCTTGCGCCTATCGGAAGGGAAACGCTCTTGCCTCCAGTTATATAACGTTCCTTCCTTCTCTCCCGAGTCCCTCTCTCTATCAGGAACCCTGGCACGGCTAGGTGACCAATAGCCCGAATTACACCGATTTACAAATCACATTTAGGGTTGATTAGCTATCACGGGCTATCAAGAGAAAGGTGCCCGAACCATGACCGTGGAGCCACAGCGACGCCAAACCAACACACAACAGAATTGGTTAGGCAGCTGTACACTGACTTTGACATTGGTGCTCCCCTCTCTCCTGTGTTTCTCACGGACTCGTGCGTCCTTATCGCTTCTCTCCATCTCTCCGTCCTTGCTCTGTGTGGAGTAAAGCCACAAAACACAAGCACACCAACCTTCGACACACTTGTGCGGCACACACACAGGCACTTACATGTAGGATACCTCTGACAGTATAAAAGCGGGAAAACCTTAGCACAGAAGCTTGCAGAGTGTGTATGTTGCTCCCTAGCTTAGTGATCTGTCGAAACTGTGGTCTCATCTAGCTAATTGCAAATTCTCCTGGGGTGGCTCTCCATCCCAGGAGCACACTAATGCCTTCTTAGCCATCATGCCTACTAGCCTCCGCCGATGGTATAGCGTCCTCCGGCGCCATAAGAGAGAGATATCTCCGCGCACCTCCCTCTGATACGATCGTCAAAAGTGAGAGACTCTTCGCAGTAGTCTCCAGGGGCCCGCTAATGGCGTCTCTCATCCATGCTGCCCTGGAGCGACACGAGTTAAATTCTGTGTGTTTTAATAAATTTCCAAAAAAATTTCTCGGAAAGTCCACAAATTTGCGGTGTTTACGGCCTACTCGGCTTGCGGTCACGCTGCAGTAACATATGTCAGCCCCAGCCCTCTGAGTCGCCTCCTTCCGAAGCGGCCCATGGGTCATCTCTCAATATGCTGAGAGTGCCACACCATTAAGAGTAGTGTGATTCACAACGAAAAGTTTGTCCAAAGTCCACAAGTTTGGTTGTCTACGGACCGGCTCAATCACGCTGAGTAACATATGTCATCCCAGCCTTCTGAAGTGGTCGCTTCCCTCTCCGAAGGGCCGCCCATGGCCGGTCTCTCATATGCTGCCGGGGGACACGGTTCAAATTCCATGGATTTTAAATAATCCAAAAAAAATTTCTCGAAACAGTCCACAAATTTGGTGTCTACGGACTCGGCTCGTCACGCTGAAGTAACATAGTCAGCCCAGGCTTCTAAGTCGCGTCCCTTCGGAAGGGATGCTTCGCTTAAACGTTTCGAGGCCCTTTGCTGCGACCGAAAAATTTTGGTCAAAAGTTCCACAAATTGTGTTTGTCTACGGACTCGGCTCGTCAGCTGCATAACATATGTCAGCCCCAGGCCTTCTTGAGTTCGCTCCCTATCCAAGGGCCACATCAACTTTCCTTTCTTGAGATGGGGGGCGAGGTTAGTCTGTAAACAGAAAGGATATGGCGGGGAGGGGGGGGGGTGGGCGCGCGCGGGCCACGCGCGCGGCAGCATCTTGCTTTGCTGGGCGCAATGGCTGTGCCGAGGGAGGGGGGTGGGCGCCGGCGGCCGGCCGGGCCAGCTAGCCTGCTTTACTTGCCGCGCATTGCCTGTGCCGGGGGGGGGCGCCGGCGGCCGCCATGGGTCATCTCTCATATGCTGGAGGTGCCACACCATTTAAGGACTAGTGTGAATGTCACAACGGAAAAAGTTTGTCCAAAGTTCCACAAGTTGGTTTGTCTACGGACCACTCGGCTCGTCACGCTGCCAAGTAACATATGTCAGCCTACGCCTCTCTGCAGTCGCTCCCTTCACGAAGCGGCCGCCGGCAGGCTTACGAAAAATTGGAAACACACCAGTGGTGGTCTCTCATATGAACCTTGCACCATAATGTCGCAGACAGGCTGACTCACACTGTTGGAAACAACAGCGAGGTGAAAAACAATATGATTCTGTGCATATGGACCATGCCATCTTGGACGTAAAATATCTTCCAGCAGCAGCTTTGCATCTCTCACTCACTGAGCACTATCCATCAAATTATCTCTTTCATATATGCAGAAATCACATCATGAATTCACAAGACTGAAGTTCCTGTAACTGTTGTTTACCTCACTTAACTTCATATTTTAATTTTACCAAGTGTAAAAGATACTATCTCTCGCACTTGTGCCATGGCATTCTCTTTCCCCTTCCTATCTCTTTT